GACGGCAGCATGGCTTCCGCACTCACGCTGCACGTCGTCAGCATCCGCGGTGCCTCCACCTCCACCGCGCTGCCGCTCACGCTCCAGGTCGTGCGCGGCTGTGACTCCTCCATCTCCACCGCGCGCGACACCAGCGTCAACGCCACCACCTTCTCCGTCGTCCCATCCGCGGCGCCACCTGGCGAGGAGTCTCTCGCGACGGCGACCGCACGTTCGACGACGACCGTCGGTCGCTCGGTCTCATCATGGCGCGGCGCCGGGATGAGAGCGGAGGTCGACTCGGCGTGCGTCTGCTGCAGAATCGTGTTTCGTTCCACCGCCTCTGCTATCTCCTCGGTCGCCGGGCGCACCGGGTGAACAACGTCGATTGTATGTTCCTCAGCCGTCTTGCTTCTACTATCTATTATTACCGCCTCTGCTATTTCCTCGATCGCCGGGCGAGTCAGAATGATGATGTCTGCTGTATGTCTTGCGGATATCTTGGTGTCCGAGTCGTTCTCCTTCTCGCTGCTACTGCTGACTATCTCCGGCTCCGACTCACTGCTGCTGCTGCTGCTGCTGCTGCTGCTCTTACTGCTCTTTCTACTTCTACTGCTTTTGCTGCTCTTGCTGCTGCTGCTGCTTCGGCGCCTCACGATAATCACAGCTTCCTTCACTATGGTGTCTCGCCTCTCTAGCAGGGCTTCTCCTACCGATTCTGCCTCCTCTATGCTTGGCGCTCTCTCTGCCTGCACCCACACGACGCACGCGCCGTAGCGGGCACGGCGAGGACGACCTCGCGCACGGCGGCGCCCCCTGGCGGCCGCGCGTTCCCGTTCTCGTCGTCGGAACTCGAGGAGGTGTCGCTGCCGCGTTGCTGCTCCCTGCTCGCCGTCTTCTTTTTCTTCTTCTTCTTCTTCTTCTTCTCTTCCCCGTTCTCCTTCTTCTTGGTTCTTCCTATTCGGAAGAACAGCGGCTGTCGTTTCTTGTCTTCCTCTCGCAGGTCGAGCGTCGCGCTCGCGCTCTCCGTGGGCACCGTCACGCACCGCACATCTGCTGCCTGCGTGCCTGCTGCCTGCATGCCCGCTGCCTGCGCAGCCTCCGACCCCACGTCGGCGTCTGCTGCGATCACCTTCACCACGGCAACGTCGTCGCTGCTGGCACCTACGCGCGGCCCGGCCGTCGCCAGAACCGCCGTGCGACTAGGATCGACTACGTAGGCGGCGATCACCACCTCCTCGTCGCTACTGCTGGACTCGGACGAGAGGTCGGCGTGCACGGTGACCTCGCCGGCGACGGGGATCCGCAGCTCCGCGCCGCGGCTCGTAACCGTCAACTTCTTCTCCTCGCTGTCTCGAACGCTCGCATCTTTCTCGCTCTCCTTCCTCTTCTTGACTACGGCGGCTAGAAGGGGTACTCGTCTGGCGGATTCCGTCGTGTGAGGATGCAGTTCGGTGTCCATGGACGCGTAGTGAGGACGTTGGTAGGTGGCGTAGGCGACGCTCGCTTCGGCGACGGTCAACCTTCTCAGCTTACAGACGTACGCAGTCTTACTTGTGGATTTCGCCTCGTCGTCCGACTCGCTGCTGCTGCTAGAGCTTCCTTCCCGCTTTCTAACGACTATGAGCGTTGATTTGTCATCCTCTGTACGTCTCGTGCTGGCCACCAGCGTGGCATCGCTCGTCGGAGCATGATGCGTGGAAGAGGCACCGGCAGACTCCTCCCTACGCACGACCACCGTCACGCTGGCTTCTTTCCTGACATTGGTTTCATCTTCATCGCTGCTGCTGCTGCTGCTGCTGCTGAGAGCTATCTGCCTTCTTCTAGCGGTTTACTTACAGTCCTATGTCACAGTGATCACAGAACCATCCTCGTGGTAAATGTTTTAGGCAGACCTTGCCGCCCTCTACGCATCCTGTTTCCTCGCTGCCTTGCTCAACTCTGGGCTGCACCTACTCCGAGTTACTACTTCTGGTGACGATACGTAGCACACTGTTTTCTGGTACTCGGTTGCCAATGACTACAGTGCACTCAGCATCTTCTGTACCCCGACTTCAACGCATAGATCAGGCCTTGTGATGGCAACAGCAAAGGCCACATCTTCCTCAGTAGCTAGCAGCCTGCGCTTTTTTACATGATATTCGTTTGGTTTCTCTACTCTGCGTTTCAATTTCTTCATCTTCTTTGCACTCAGCTTTTCTTTTTTCTTGTCATCATCATCATCCTACACACTGCTGCTGCTGCTGCTACTGCTGCTGCTCAGAGGCTATCATCTGCCTCATTTTTTTTTTTTTTTTTTTTTACTTCAGGTCTGCTTCAGAGAAAGTCACAGTGATCACAGACACAGGTGGTACAATTTTAGACAGACCCCTCTACGCCTGACCTAATCTATCGCGGCTACGGCCAGTAAGGTGTGCGGAGCTGAGAGAGGGAAGAGTTAAGAGGGCGTCTCTCGGCTGCCTTTGCCTCAACTCTGCTGCAGACCTACCTCAGCTTCTACGATATCAGGTGAGATACGGTGCAAACTGTTCTGCATCGGAACGGTTGGCCATGACTAAGGCGACCTCAGCATCTTCTGTAACTTCAACCATAGGATTTCAGGCCTATGTGAATGGGAAACAGCAAGAAGGGCACATCTTACTCAGTAAATACGCAGCCCATGCGCGTGTTTTTTGTTTTTTTTTGGTTGTCTTTTTTCAACATGATCTCGAGCTTGCATAAGTTCCTCAATGCATCACTCTTTCGACAAGAGAAAGTTCGCTCATTCCGTGTACTGGGCTTCTTTTCCCGAAAGTTTCATCCTCACATGTTGCCTGGCTGCTGCTACTACTGCTGCTACTTGCGCTTTCTTACAAGAAGAAGTCAGCTAGACGGAAGAGAGAT